GGGAGGGGAAGGGAGGGAAGAAAGCAGGAAGGAAGGAAGCTTTGACTATAACTACCAAGATAATTCCTTCAAGTTTATAAGCTCCATGAGGGCAGAGACCTCATCCAGTTTCCTCACAATGTCTTCCCAGTGTTTTAAACAGTGCCTGGCACTTAGGGTCATGAATATTTGTCAAATGTGCAATAAATTATTCTTTCTCCATCCTTACCCCAACGATCCTCTTACACACACACACACATGTGTGAGACACTCGGCACAGAGTAGGAGAGAGAGAAGAAAGTTTCAGACCCTACTGATCATTTTCAGGCTTAGGCGAGGGAGCTTTAAGTGACAGGAATGTGACAGCCCTCGGCTGAAAGATTCCCAGTGACCGTAGTGTAATAGCCACGGTGAGATTGGTTTTGTCACACCTGCTGCGAGGTAATCACCTTAAAACTCATCAGCTGCTGTGGAGACCGTGTGAGTCAGCCTGTATTTCATGGCTGGGAATGTGTCTCACTTCCGTGGCTTCTTGCTGCATTGACTCTTTTAGTTTTACTTCTTGTGAGAGAGTCTCGCTCTGTTGCCCAGGCTGGAGTAAAGTGGTGTGATCTCGGCTCACTACAACCTCTACCTCCTGGGTTCAAGTGATTCTTGTGCCTCGGCCTTCCAAGTAGCTGTGACTACAGGTGCCCACCACCACGCCTGGCTAATTTTTGTATTTTTAGTAGAGACAAAGTTTCACCATGTTGGCCAGGCTGGTCTTGAACTCCTGGCTTCAAGTGATCCGCTCTCCTTGGCCTCCTTGGGATTGCAGGCGTGAGCCACTGCACCCGGTCTGCGTTGACTCTTTTAAACATGAGTCCAGGGGTGGGCTGCCTGCCCCATCCCCAAAGCCCTGGCACCCTGACATTTAGATTATTTCATGGGCTTCCTTTTTCTCTGCTGATTTACCTTGTCGTTTCCCCCAAGATCCATAGCCTCTGCCTGTTCTCCCTCTTTTCCTGCCACGACAGTGAGGAAGAAGAAGAGGGAGATTTCCCTACACCCAGGGAACTGGTGAGAACTCGGGAGATGTGGGATCAGAGGTCATCATCCTGGCTCTCTTACATCCTTGGTCACATGACGGTACACACAGAGTTGCTATTTCCCGTGGGCACTGACATGCTACCTGAGTGCTATGTCCCTTGCTGGCATTCACCCCTCAATTTTAGCTTCTTGAGTCCTCGTGAGAACACCAATAGAGTGAGTTCTATCTCTTCTATTTTATGAATGAGCAAATTGAGGTGGCAGAGGCAAAGTGACTTGTTCAAGGTCCCAGCTAGGATGAAGTAGTGCCACGATTTGAACCCAAGGTGTCTATCTCCTGGGGGCAGAGCCCTTAACCTTAAGCTGTTCTGTTATCTTTATTCTCAATGCCAGGCCCCCCTTTCTCTTTGCCTTACTCTCCTGCAATGCAAGGACAAACCCCTGATTGGATGCCCCCAGTCCCACACTGAGTCTTGTCATGTTCCACCATCTTGAATGTGTGTGGTGAAACTTGGACAGATTTGACTAAGTCAGGCTTTGAGGCTTCTTTTCTGTACCATTGAAACTGACCCAACAGTCCCATCATAGATTTTTTTTTTTTTTTTTTTTAAGACAGAGTCTCAATCTGTCACCTAGGCTGGAATGCAGTGGGGCGCGATCTGGGCTCACTGCAAGCTCTGCCTCCCAGGTTCACGCCATTCTCCTGCCTCAGCCTCCCGAGTAGCTGGGACTACAGGCACCACCACCAT